AGGTGTGTCCGAAAATTCCAGTTTTTAACATCTTGGTCATCATGTTTCCATTTGGTTAAATATTATGAGTTTTATTCTCAATCTTATTATTTTATCTCTCGAATTTCTTTTACCGGCCTATTATATCTACATAATATAAGAAGCATGTCTGGTAAATCTTCCTTTACTATTATATATATTCTTTTACTATGATATATATATATATATATATATATATATATATATATATATATATATATATATGATAAATTCAAATGGGTTATTTTTAATTTCTCTTTTATGTAATTTATCTATATATGCTCAGTAATAAATTCATTGAGCCCTTTTTGTGGATCAGTTTTAATATGTTATATTATTAGGATTCACTTGGATTATTTACCCACAATTTTTACCTGTAGGTGTATATATATATATATATATATATATATATATATATATATATATATATATATATATATACTCGTTGTTTATGAGCTATAAGGTGGCTAGTGGCTTCAGCACCTTTACTTGGCCTGAATTAAAAAGAATGGGTCGATGTGAAATATATTTCGGTAGACCATTATTCATTCTGGCGTTAGAACCTCAAACCGTCTGACGATAAATATATTCAATCGGGCTATTGGAGATTTTCGATAAACTGACATCTTTGAAGATGTCTCGTCTACAAACTTTTGAATCGAACATATTACGCTCTGAATAAAGCACCGCTTGTCTTAACCACAGGATATGGGATTGACACGGTAACATACGTATAAACTGCGCAGGACTTAAACAGTGAACGAAGCAGAGAGAAAGCTCACCATTTTACCATCCAACCCACATTATCTGCTTTTATTGATTGTTGGAGCCAGTCATTCAGTTAAATGCTCTTCACTTTTAAATAAAAGTCGTGAGGTTAACACTTCAGTATTTTCCGTTTGCCTATTGAGCATTTTAAATATCTTATCTTTTCAATGTATTTTCGACGCTGTGTTTGACCTTTACAGTGAGGTTCAACGGACGAAACGTGTAATCAGGTTTGGGAAGAGATTCACGCGTCTGAAGGTGGAAATCTATATTCACAGTTGTGTACACAATTGTTCTCTGATTTTCTCTTTCCGCGGTTTTGATTCTCGCAGATTTCAGTTAACCGCGTCCATCCCACCTCCCCACCTAGATAAATCATGTATCAGTGTTGCGTAATAATCGACCGTAAATCCAATGATAAAGTGATTTTGCATATCTTAAAGAGGAGCAGTAAATACTTTATTAAAGTGAAAAGGTGAGACTTCGTGATTTAATAAAACCTCTCCAGCATGATGGAATCTTCTATTTACCTCATTATATATATATTATATATATATATATATATATATATATATATATATATATATATACGCTCTATCTCTGATACTGAGCACTTTATCCCATAAATATAGCACACCTTACAACTATATTTCTTCATATATATATATATATATATATATATATATATAAGGTATATTTTGACAGCAGGTGTTCATTCAAACAAGTTAGATTAAAAAAAACGACAAAGTCTGTTTAAGATTTTTTTTTGTAGTTTTACAAATTTCGGATAAGATGGTGAGTATTATGTTCGAAGTTCATATCTTGCTATTTTTTCGACTATATATATATATATATATATATATATATATAGTCATCCAAAGGCAGACAGTTTTGCTGTATCACAGCTCCTCAGTGTAGCTAGACGTCCGATTGCTTCAAGCCGGGAAGATACCCGACTGATTTGACAGATTTCTTATCTCTAGACCATCGTCGCATGGGGTGGGGAGGGAAGAGAATTTTAACATTTTTCGCTATACGAAATAGCATCTCATAAAACTCAATTCAATTTTACTTGAAGAGTAATGCTTATATATATATATATATATATATATATATATATATATATATATATATATATATAGTGGGGGTAAAAGAAATAATGATTTTTTTATTTCACATAGATTTTATAAAATAATATTATAATCCATGCAATATTTGTACACCATGTAATAATGTTGCAATTGGCAAATAGGCAAAAAAAAAAAATTCTGTAAAATTTATCTTAATGAAATTTACAAAAGTTGAAGGCGAAAAAAATATTCGTACAAAATTATAATACCTATTTAATACTTCGTAGTACATCCCTTAGTCAATTAAACACTCTCTTTTTGTAGCTTTAAATCAGTTTTGCAAGTTTCCGTTAATATTTTACTCCGTTCTTCTTTGCATCTTTTCTTTAGGCCCAGGATGTGTTTCGGAGCTCTTTTATTAACTTGGAGTTTTAATAAACGCCAAAAATTCTCTATTGGATTCAAGTCTGTAGACTGTGATGGCCAGTCGAGTCTATTGTCATTGTTTTCAATAAGCCATTTTTTCGTAGATTTAACAGTATGTTTAGAGTCATTAACTTGTAGCAAAACACATTCATTTAGCTGTTTGTTATATCTCGTACAAGATATAATAAACAAAGTAAACCCGAGTGTGGTTTTCAATAATAATTTTATAATCGGATGTAGGTATGTCAAAATACAGAGACAGCGTAGGAGTAAGCTAACCGCAATGGTGTTAGTAAACGAAGAGCTTTTTTGTCGCTCTGTACTGTTTACTGTGGTCGTACTTTATCGGCCACCAGAACGTCCATTATCGTGAATGGGGAAGTTGGGTTATCTCATTACAACACTTTTTAAGCTTTACTACTGATAAATTTGAATCGAAAACATCTTAGCATATTTTTGAATTCATTCTATCATCTATTATCTCTAAATTACGCGTGCCATTAGCAGAAAAATCATCTCCTAACCATGATATTGCCATCACCAAATTTCACCGTGAGGGTTGTGTCCTTTGGTGCAATGACTGTACTGTCTTTTCTCCAAACGTGAGCCTTGAATTACGTTTAAGTAGATAAGTGTTTGCTTCATCATCTCTTCATAAAACACTTTCCAAAAATGATACTGTTTATTCTTATGCGCAGGGACAAATTTTAACCAGGCATCTCCATGTTTCTTCAATGTTTGATGATCAATTCTTTTTTTGCAAAGTTGATAGTTCTTCGCCTTTTCCCATGATGATAATTATTGTGTATGATTTGTGTCCAGAGATAAGTATATATAAGAAATGAATTACGGAATGTAGATTGTTCCGGTAACAAGATGACTGGAAAAAAATCTTAAAAGGAATTTTGTACGAATACTTTTTTCGCCTCAAAATTTCATAAATAACACATAATTTCATTTATAACAAAGTTTTCTAATTGTATTTGCATACTGCAGCATTATGCAATGGTGTAGAAAAATATTTCATAGTATACGGATACTTATTTCCTACACTCTGCGTGTATGTGTGTATATATATATATATATATATATATATATATATATATATTACACACCATTCCTGGTTACCTTCTATGTTAACTTATATAAGCTTAATACTGCCCGTCAAAAGTGTAAAATTTAATTTCATTTTTCGTTTCACCTTTTGAAAGTGATGTCTGAGGATCCAGGGAAAATTAAAGTCTCTGGTGAAAGAAACTATTACAATGGAGACTTAAAGTGGTCTGTTTTTCTTTAATATATATATATATATATATATATATATATATATATATATATATATATATATATATATTCCAAGCGTAGCTTAGATGTAGCTGAAGGCCGAAAGTAGGGGGAGCCAGTGAGGATCGAACTCACTAGTCAGTCGTAATTGTTCTAGCAAGACAAGTTTGCAAGCCATATATATATATATATATATATATATAGGAAAGAGATTAGATCCGACATATTGTTATTTTAAATGTGTTTTGTTTAAATGTTATTTTTGAGGAAAAGCTCTGTTTTTTTTTGTTTTTTATTTGTGTTTTTTAATTAAACAGTATTTTTTATCCAACTACATCTACCAGCCTGAATAGAGAAATCTTCTTCTGCCAGGATTAAAACCTGAATCACCTACGGGGAACCGTCATTACATCTGATTTGACTGACCGTTCGGCCACGTAGGACTGCCAGTCAAATCAAGCCCGAATAGTACCCTTTGGAGACACACTTTTCTGTCAATTGTCGAAACATCTATATATGCTCTGTATCATAACGAAACATCTATATATCCTCCCTATCCTAATGAAAAGACAATTTATTTTTAGGAAATGGATTAAATCCTACATATTTTTATCGTTGATTTGATTGTTTAAACGTTGTTTTAGCATTTAAGAAAAATAAATTACAGATAAACACAATCATCCAACCTACCCCATATATATATATATATATATATATATATATATATATATATATATATATATATATATATATAATGAATCATTCGTACAAAGACTAAATTAGTAAAATTAATGATATAAAATGGAGAAATCCCTTCGTTAACTAAATTCTAAAGATGCATTAACCCACTAATCACTCGATCAATGATATGATCCTTGATTTTTTAAATTATGAACTGTATTAGGTCTTCCTTAACTATGCAAGTGGAAACTATTTTGTATTTGGTAAAATTCAGGTAGCATCCGAGACGAAAATATATAATGAAAAACGAAATATTTTTTTTTATGTGTTATTGATAACAGATACAAACTTGTGGAGGGTGTAATCGCAAAGCTAAGGTTGTATTTCATTTCTGGGTACTAGAATGCCAGCCTGGATTGCTGTTATATATATATATATATATATATATATAGAGAGAGAGAGAGAGAGAAGAGACAGACAGACAATAGATGATTTTAGATTTTGATCATATACACATTACTAGCTTTCAGTTTGAGAAAATGTTTGTCTTTTTGCACAAGCTTAAATATGCACGTGTAAGTTATAAGTAGACAGAAAGTTGTAAGTTGTTTATTACAAAAAAAGGTTGTACATTGCAAATATTTATGTAAAATGATCGAAATGCTTTTGTTCGTTTGATATTGTCTGTTAGTCGGGATTAGATATGCTTTCACGTGAAACTATATAGATTTACTATTTCTATTTAGCGGATTAATGTCAAATGCAGATGGACGACTTTCTCGCCTCGCGGATTACATGAACAATCTCTCCGTCAAACATTTCACAGACGTCGCCTTTTATTACACAACAGCCACATTCAGGTTTCGGGCGATTGCATGGAATGATAAATACAAATTAGGATGTAAAATCACGCACGCCAACAGGCAAAAAGCATCAGCCCAAAATATATTCATGTCTATGCTTATGAATGCGCAAGTGAGTTTAGAAATATCTATCTATCTATCTATCTATCTATCTATCTATCTATCTATCTATCTATTTTAGTCTGTTCATATCTATCTATCTATTTTAGTCTGTTCATATCTATATATCTATCTATCTATCTATCTATTTTAGTCTGTTCATATCTATATATCTATCTATCTATTTTAGTCTGTTCATATCATCTATCTATCTATCTATCTATCTATCTATTTTAATCTGTTCATATCTATCAATCTGTTTTAGTCTGTTCATATCTATCTATCTATCTTAGTCTGTTTATATCTATCTATCTATTTTAGTCTGTTCATATCTATATATCTATCTATCTATCTATTTTAGTCTGTTCATATCTATCTATCTATCTATCTATTTTAGTCTGTTCATATCTATCTATCTATCTATCTATCTATCTATCTATTTTAGTCTGTTCATCTATCTATCTATCTATCTATCTATCTATCTATCTATCTATTTTACTGTTCATATCTATCTATCTATCTATCTATCTATCTATCTATCTATCTATCTATCTATTTTACTGTTCATATCTATCTATCTATCTATCTATCTATTTTAGTCTGTTCATATCTATCTATCTATCTATCTATCTATCTATTTTAGTCTGTTCATATCTATCTATCTATCTATCTATCTATCTATTTTAGTCTGTTCATATCTATCTATCTATCTATCTATTTTAGTCTGTTCATATCTATCTATCTATCTATCTATCTATCTATCTATCTATCTATCTATCTATACGGGTCCCATAGGGAAGTATCTGTTTGCTGCTTGTTTATCTTGAGGACAAATTAAGCGGACTTGATGTGACTTTTCATACTAAATAAAACTTATTGCGCATGCTTGAACATAGAATCACCCTTGGAGTCAAACAATCGGTAGAGGGACATCAGTGGCTACATGACTAAGTGTTTAGAGCATCCACCATTTATCCCAGGTCCAAATCTACCCCGTGTCATTTTGCCAATAATGTGACTAAAGAGAGAACCCCAGTTAATGTCACCCTTAGGAAGTGTCTGGAAAATATCACGTGTTGACAAAACCCTTGTGTGTTAAATGTGGTCGAAGAAATTTTTCGGAAGCCATTAGCAGTTGTTCTATCACGAAGTTAAAAGACACCCTGACTGCGCGTTTGATCATACTGGCCTTGTTCAGGTAGTAATCACGCCAGCGTAGTGGCTGTATATACCACAGATTGGCTCTGTGAAGAAGCACAAATGCGCCTAAGCATGTGTCTGCAAAAGGGATTAATTAGACGGGCAAACTCGAGAATGCCCGTTTGCGTGAGGGACGAGATCAAAGCATCTTAACAGCTTACTAGGTAGCAACAGCTTACTACAGCGTCTTGAAAAATCACGCAAGGTTATCAAGATGAATGCTTTGAAGTGTACTAGTCATAGCTGCTTGTTCAAATTAGGTCGAGATCAACATTTGTAAAGGGGTGAATTTAATCATAGCACCTTGTTCAAATCAAAGCGAGATCAACATTTGTAAAGGGGTGAATTCATTCATAGCTGCTTGTTCAAATCAGAGCGAGATCAACATTTGTAAAGGGTTGAATTTAATTATAGCTACTTGCTCAAATTAGGTCGAGGTCAATATTTGTAAATGGGTGAATTTAATTATAGCTTCTTGTTGAAATCTGAGATTTAATTCATAGCTCCTTGTTCAAATTAGTTCGAGATCAACATTTGTAAAGGTTTGAAATTAATCATAGCTGCTTGTTCAAATCTGGGCGAGATCAACATTTGTAAACAGGTGAATTTAATCATAGCTCCATGTTCAAATCAGAGCAAGATCAACATTTCTAAAGGGGTGAATTTAATCATAGCTGCTTGTTAAATTAGGTTGAGATCAACATTTGTAAATAGCTGAATTTAACTGCTGATGTTCCCAGATTCACCCTGAGCTGGGGTTGTAGCAGCTGTTACGGTCCCAGCTATGTGCAAATAATTAACCCCCAAATGAAACTGTAAAAATAGGTTTTAATACCAGCAATAAATTTTTCGAGGAATAATTATTACCAGCAATACACTACCAGCAATACATTTTTAAAGAAAATAAATATTACCAGCAATACATTTTTGAGGAAAAAATATTATAAGCAATATATTTTTGAAGGAAAATATTAACCAGCAATAGTGTTTTGTAAATAATTTTTACCAGCAATACATTTTTGAAGAAAAATTATTACCAACAATATATTTTTGGAAATAATATTATCAGCAATAAAAATCTTGTAGGCATTAAATCTCTCCTTCTCTTAGGCTGACGACAATGCTGTCATTCCAGCTCCGTCGGTCTTCTGTGGGCTGCCAAATGAGATAGCAGGCCCGATCCGCGAACGAAGTTCCCGGGCACAGGTGGTAGGGAAACATGCCCGGTGCGGATTTGGCAGGTTGCAGGTGACGCTGGCGTCGCCCTCCCATCCTCGTCTCTTCCTCGTTGAAGAGCGCCACTCCGGCGACGCCGAGAGACCGCCAGCCGATCCGATCCCTTGCGAGTTTCTCTAATTGTGTTGGGTCAATATTGCAAGAGATAAGAGAACGCTTAAGGAGCTCTCGAAATCGCTTCTTTGGGCCTCCACGTGGGCGGCTGCCGGTCTCGAGCTGTCCGAAGAATTCGCTTTTGGGGAGGCGACTGCCCGACATCCGCACAACATGTCCAGCCCAACGTAGAAGGCGCTGTCGTATTATGGCCTCGATGCTGACGACCTCCGCACTTTGAAGAACCTCGGTGTGGGGAATTTTATCCCTCCAAGTAAGGCGCAAAATTCCCTGACGGTAGCGGTATGGAATGCCTCAAGCAGTTTTATTTGTCGGCAATACAGTTGTCCAGCATTCACAGCTGTAGAACAGTTCGATAGACAGCGACTTCGGTGGCGAGTCGGAGGTTGCTATTAGAGAAAACCGACGTCCGAAAAAAGCGGAGGCGTAGATTATCCGCCGGAGAATATCTTCATCAATGTGTTCATTATAATATATGGCGCTGCCGGGGTAGATGGATGAATGTGCATTAGACAACGAAAGGTTGTCAATATGCAGTCGAGCTGCTGGATCACGTCGTTTAAACGCTGTTTTAAATGGCCTCTGTTTTATTTGGGTTGATATCAAGACCACGCAAGAATAAGCCTGAGCCAATGAGGTCAAACACAGTTGTAGTGAGAAACTATGGCAGCATCGTCGGCATATTGCAGTTCATCGACAGGAATAGTAGAGGTCAGAGTCTTAGCTTTGAGACGTCTGGCACTGAAGACACTTCCGTCAAAGCGATATCGGATACATATTCCGTCGTTAGGTTCCATACGTAACCGAGAGGGAAGAGTCATAGCAACCAGATAGATATTAAAGGGCATGGGAGCAAGAACACAGCCTTATTTAACTCCCATATGCACACTGAGCTGTTCTGATGAGGATCCCTCGACGTATACTTTAGCGAGCATATCCTCGTGAAATTGGCGTAGAAGACTCAGAAAGGTCGGCGGACAGCAACATCTGTCAAGCAAAAGCCATAGAGCTTCCCGATTGACCGTATCAAAGGCTTTATTTAGGTCAACGAAAGAAAAATTAATCTCTCTTTGCTGCTCCCTGCGTTTTTTTTTGAGTAGCAGACGAGCGACGAATATCATGTTGAGGGTACTGCGTTCAAGTCTGAAGCCACATTGAGATTCCGGCAGAATTCGCTCAGTTAGAAAGATGAGAAGATGGCGAAGCATAATACGCGCAAGAATCTTCCCGGCCACATCTAGGAGGGAAATGCCTCTGCTGTTGCCGCATATGGAGCGATCACCTTTCTTGAACAATAGAAAACCCTCCATACCTCCTTTATTCAACCAGTTCGAGGTCCTGACCTCCTCTACCGACAAAGCTGAATGTTTTGCTCGAAAATTCTCATTTAATTCAACGCCAGACTTCCATCTAAGAACTGAAGCACTATTGAGCGGCTTACACATAACTCCGTCATTGGTATTGGGCATTATCTCCAATTTAGACCCCCCACAAGGCTAGTGGTGGAAATGGCATACCAGCCATTGTCTTGAAGAAATGCGCGCCTGAGCTAGCACACGCCCTCTCTAAACTATATAATTACTGCCTCAAAAAATCCTGTTTTCCTGACTGCTGGAAGTCCTCATTCATTGTTCCTGTCTTTAAGAACTCTGGAGACCCCTCTGACCCCTCTAATTACCGTCCTATTTGTCTCCTACCCATCTTCGGCAAAGTCTTCGAAGCCCTAATCAATGCCGAAGTGGTTAATCACCTTACATCCCATGATCTGCTCTCAGACAAGCAATATGGTTTCCGCTACCCCCGATCTACAGCTGATGTGCTTACGGCGATCACTGAAACCGTCTACCAAGCCCTTCAAAATAACACTGAGGCTCGTGCCGTGGCCCTAGATATCTCCAAAGCGTTTGATAGGGTTTGGCATGCCGGCCTTCTTCGTAAGCTCCAGGGTTATTGTATTACAGGTCGATTGTTTGACCTAATACAATCATTCCTGTCAAACCGTGAATTGAAGGTCGTTCTCAACGGATTCTCCTCCAGTTCCTATCCCATGAACACAGGTGTTCTCCAAGGCTCTATCCTTGGCTCCACTCTATTCCTTATTTTCATCAACGACCTTCCTGACGCCATAGATTCCCAAGTTGGCATCTACGCGGACGACACTACAATTTACTCCTGCCTCAAAAACAAATCTAGTGTCGGTGACAAAACTAACCTGGCCGTGCGTCTTGAAATAGACCTCCAATCGGTTGTTAATTGGGGCAAGAATTGGCTGGTCAACTTTAACGCCTCAAAACTAAACTACTCTCTATTAATCACCATAGAGATCCCCCCCCCGTTAGAATGTCTGATAGTCAACTTCTTGAGAGCAACTCCCTGCGTCTGCTCGGTCTCACGTTGACTGCTGACCTGAGAAAGTGTAGAGCAACCAGTCAGGATCGAACTCACGACGCAGTCGTAACTGATCTAACAAGACAAGCTTGCTATCACACCACGTCTAAGGCCCGAAAGGTAAGATTAATATAGAGTGTAAGCAAAAAAGTTTAAAGAAATGCAATGAAATTAGCGAGACTGCATACGTAGACACATCTAGAAAAAATTAAGTTTAAAAGTTTAGAATTTCAACGTTCCAACCTTTTCTGTGTTTCCTGTCGGAGAATAATTAAAACGAACGATTTCGTTTTTACATTCCCCTTCACTATCCTACATCGGTATAATTGCCTCATCAAAAACATTACTTTATCCGATGAATTTCTAAATGACAAAACGAGCCACACGACTTTCTTCCTTAATTAACCTATCATTGTTCTGATATATAAACATTTATATGTCATATTAAACCACAGTGTAAGTTATGAAATGAAAAAAAAGACCCGCATTCCGTTTCGTGACACATTGCTGATTAATACGCTTCGATAGAAACAAATACACGCACTACTTATCGCCATAAGCGAAATTCATTAAAAAAAAGTTCTTGTTTTTTAGGTTTAGTCATGAGTAATTTTCATTTTGTAGAAACTATCTGTAATAATGCATGTATCATCCTAATTTTGATCATATGTGGCAGTTAAGAATAATTTAGATTACACTAACTTCTAGAGGACCGTGTGGTTTAAGTATTGTTGGATTAGAAACACGTGCTGTTTACTTCCTGCTAGAAAAAGGTCCAAGTACAAGAACATGGTGGACTCAAGTTGAGTCCAACCGAAGATGTAAAGAAAACAAACAAGACCGCTGTATATATGTCAACAAATATATGTATTAAACAACAATTTTACAAGTGACAAAGACATCATCATTTGTGTTTGTGAGTGAACGTAAAGAGTTTCTATTTTGCTGAATGTTCGTAAGCACATGTATGTGTGTATAATGTTCACGGCGTCTCCTACAAATGGGAAGACGCTTATCTTTTGCGAGAGCTTACATTGAAGTCGCCCACTATTTATAGTGTAGGGTTAGCGCCCCCTAGTGAAGATTTAAGGAATTAAAGAGGAGCTAACTCCGACAAACTTATCTTAGATTTTGCTCAGCAGTAGCAGTATACACAGTGGATTAAAGGGAAAAAAGATATTGTTTCCCTCCATTAAAACGCAACGCTGCATTTAGCAAGAAAAATTTTCGAAATCGTTTGGTTTGGTTTGGTCTGTCTTAAGCGCCATATTTACTGTCATTTGACTAACAGATTTTTTTTCTGTCACAGCAAAAAAAAAAAAAAAAAAGAAGACCTTCTGTAATGAAAAGCAGATTAAAACTTTTCACGCCCAAACCCGCGGATTCGATATCGACGGCAACGTCATTGAAAATAAAGGCGAATATATAATTGAATACAATGTAACTGTATATATTATCCTTATCTTAGATTTTGCACAGCAGTAGCAGTATACACTGTAGATTAAAGGGAAAATGTTGCTTTTCCTCCATTAAAACGCAAGGTTGCATTCAGCAAGAAAAATGGTTTGGTATGTTCTGTCTCAAGCGCCATATTTACTGTTCTTTGACTACCAGATTTTCTTTTCTGTCACGGCAATAAATAAATAAAAAAATGGCATGTCCTTCTGTAATGAAAACCAGATTCAAGATATTTTAAAAAAGAAAAAAAAAACTTTTCGCGCCAAAACCCGCGGATTCGATATCGACGGCAACGTCATTGAAAATAACGGCGAATATATAATTGAATACAATGTATCTGTAATTTATTTTTATAAGAATAAATTTTAAAGTTATTTATGATTTAACCTAATATTTTAATGGCGTCTTCCTTCCGGATGAATGCGATCACGGCTCTCCTGGATTCTTTTTTTTTTTTGTTTTTACAAGTCTAGAGTGTATTGAGTTTTGGGGAAACACTTAACCGATTGTTATGAATTCATGGGTAATAAGCAGATAAATGAAAGCGACGGGAGGAAACAAATTAACCCTGCCTCAGAAAACACAGCACGCAGCTTCCGGAACAAAATGTCCAACGGAACATTTTCACAAGACATCGAGTCTCGCCAACTGCCCACTGCTGATTCGCTTTTATTGACGTGAGACAGTTGACAAAGTCCCGGCTCTAGGAAAACTGTAGAAAAAAATAAAAAATTATTCCTACCAGAAAACAACAAGCTAGAAAACAGACATGAACGGCTTAAATACAGAAATAAAATAATAGTATTTTCTTTCATTCTGAACTGGAGACGTCTACCTAGCACGCTGAAGCGAAATGCGTTGTCATTAAAAGATTTTCAACTCTGTCTCATTGCTTCGATTTTGTTCCTACAATATCCTCCATCTTACTAACACACACACACACACACACACACACACACACACACACACACACACACACACACACACATATACACAACAGGCGCGGGCGCACACACGCGTACACACACACACACACACATATATATATATAATAGTTAAAAATAATTCCATATAATACACTGACATTTTTTTAATTTCACAAAGCTTTATCGTGCTTCCTAATGTCGAATAAATAAATAATAACAAAAATACACAGAACA